ATAAAGATGGTAAAATAAAGTGCAGGATGATCTGGGCAGAAGAAGGGAAACACACAGATACAGGAAGAGGAGGAGCAGGGAATGGAGGCTGTTTCCTTTCATACCCAACGTGAGGCTTTGAGAAAGATCATACAGACAGAGGATCCATACCTCATACTGATGGCTCTGTTGTGTTTGGTGAATGTGTAAGGTGCATATACAATGCTATACTGTGAGACTGAGTGTCCTTTTGGAGATAATAGACCTACTTCACTCACTTTATCTGTATTTGGTTGCATGTATGATCACTAACATGGCCTCATGTCAAATTAATTTGTATAGCACTTGTCACAATACACCCTGTATCAAAGCAGCTTTACAAAAAATCATGATGTTAATGTCTTTTAATACCTTTATGTATTCAAGTCACTTTCGTTGGATTAGAGCTGTGACATAATATAGCTTACATTTTGCAATGATGTAAACAATCAAGCAGCTGAGATTTGCTATATACCCAGCTAATAGGGAATGTCCTCAGAACATGCTGGCAAGGTTCTCTTAAAGTTATGAACCAATGTTTGTTCAATGTTCTCTGGTCTTTAATAATGTTCTCAAAACGTTAGCACTTATTTATACACTATTTATACATTGTTCATGGAAAACATTTTCTTGAAACATGTTTGTCTAGTTTTTTTTTTAAATGTTACTACTTGTTTCAGGGAACATTCAAAAGTAACATTACCATAATGATTACAATACATGTTTCTTTAACAGTCGCACAATTTTAAATGTTTCTAAAACATTTCGCCCTACATGAGTTTACTGTATGTATGTGTGTGTGTGTATGTGTGTGTATATACATACAACTTTTTATATATAGAGTTAGGTAATAAGTTACATTTTACAACAAAATAAACAATCAAGCAATTGAGATTTGCAATATTATCCAATATATAGCCTGTAAGAAGTTCTGATGAGAACTGAGCTGAGCTGCTTTATAGATTAATTAAACTCATTTTATAATTGATGAACTTATTAACCTGAACTGAATCAACAATTAACTTATTTCAACTGAATATTGACCGTTTACTATCATCTCTATAGAGCTGCTTTACAGTATAATTGAATTTTGTTTGCATTATTGAATCACTAATTTCTTGTTTATCCCTATAAAGCTATTTTAACTCAATCTGTATTGTATAAAGTGCTATATAAATAAAGGTGACTTGGCTTGACTATAAAAGTGTGCGATAATAGTTAATAATAGTTAATATTATAGTATATAGTATAGGTTACATAGGTTACTTCAACAAAAATTATCCTGTGATTATTTTATTGAAATAATGTTGATTGTCAACTGATGGACCCATAGTTATTTTTCCATTTATTTTTTCCTAAAGTAATTAATACAATTGCAAAATAGCATTCATTTCTGTACCTCAGCCGTGTTTAATGCACTGATCAAATGTACACATTGAATGCAAAGTAAGTCGCTTTGGATACAACCCTCTGCCAAATGCATAAATGCGATTTTAAAAACATCTTACATTTTTCAACTTATATATCGCTGAATGTAAATGAATGAAGTTTATGTCATGATAAATTATATGAAATATCTATTTGAAATGTGTCACAGACTGTTTCTTATTTCTCCTCACCTCCTCCTCAGTTTTATATTCCTGTAGTGAAGACACACATACACACACAAACACAAAATTCTTCTCTGACTATCTCTGCTACTCCAGAGTGACAACAGGCAAGTTTTTGGCCATGTTGACACAAGCATAAAAACCTCATTAGATCCATTCTGAGCTTATCAGGTTTTTTTTTTTTTTATGGTATTATATCACGTTCCCATTGGATACTGCACTGCTTTTGTCATGACACTCTGGACTCTGGCTGCTGCTAATGTTGGTTAAATTGAATTCAATCCCACCTCAGAAAAGGTGACATTATGACAGTTCACACCTCACTTTTTCTTTTACTTCTGCTGATAAGAGTATGATGCTCAGTACTGTACGACTGAAAAGAAAGCCCTACAAAACACTTATCAAACTTTGATAAAGAAATAGCATGAGAGAGCTCTTTGTTTGCCACTAATAAAATACTGCAGTTAAAGTGCTTATCTCATATTTAAACACATAATCTCTCGTTTTATCTGAAGCCATTAGTTATCGGCAGACTTTTTCTTGACATGATCGAAATTCACTTATTTAATACCAGGTCCACTGCCAACTCCTCTGTTAACCACTACATGGGACTATACGACGACCTTTTTCAGTTGACAAAAAAATTAAATAAATCACGTTAAAGCTGCAGTCCGTAACTTTTGAAGCTCTAGCGGTTGAACTGCGTGCGTTTTGCGGAAGAACATTGTAGCCGGAGCTACTTCTCTCTGTTTATGTCTATGGCGAATCACGCAGGTACGGGGCTACTCCGCAGCGGTACCTACCCGAGATAAAAGTGTGCGATAATAGTTAATAATAGTTAATATTATAGTATATAGTATAGGTTACATAGGTTAGATTGTCAACTGATGGACCTATAGTTATTTTTCCATTTATTTTTTTCGTGAAGTAATCAATACAATTGCAAAATAGCATTCATTTCTGTGCCTCAGCTGTGTTTAATGCACTGATAAAATGTACACATTGAATGCAAAGTAAGTCGCTTTGGATACAAACCTCTGCCAAATGCATAAATGCGATTTTAAAAACATCTTACACTTTTCAACTTATATATATCGCTGAATGTAAAGAAATGAAGTTTATGTCATGATAAATTATATGAAATATGGAACACAAAAAAGATACGGACTGCAGCTTTAAAGCAGCATTATGTAACTTTTTCTGTGTTCAAAATTTGCTAAATGTGTATAATGAGCGAGTACATTATGAATTCATCTTCCAAACCGCGTTTTTGTCTTATTCCGAATCACTACGGTACACGTATGTTTACACATACGAGGAATTTGTTTTCGTGACAGAAGCTTCCACAGTGTAACAGAATGACAGTGACAGAACAAAAAACACAGATAATGAAAAATAAAAATAAATACAAAATAGAACAAGTAAAATACGGAATAAAAAATATACAAAACGACAATTGTATGTACAGGTATAGAACAATAGACAGTTGTACTGTATGTATGTGTGTGTGTGTATGTGTGTGTATATACATACAACTTTTTATATATAGAGTTAGGTAATAAGTTACATTTTACAACAAAATAAACAATCAAGCAATTGAGATTTGCAATATTATCCAATATATAGCCTGTAAGAAGTTCTGATGAGAACTGAGCTGAGCTGCTTTATAGATTAATTAAACTCATTTTATAATTGATGAACTTATTAACCTGAACTGAATCAACAATTAACTTATTTCAACTGAATATTGACCGTTTACTATCATCTCTATAGAGCTGCTTTACAGTAGAATTGAATTTTGTTTGCATTATTGAATCACTATTTTCTTGTTTATCCCTATAAAGCTATTTTAACTCAATCTGTATTGTATAAAGTGCTATATAAATAAAGGTGACTTGGCTTGACTATAAAAGTGTGCGATAATAGTTAATAATAGTTAATATTATAGTATATAGTATAGGTTACATAGGTTAGATTGTCAACTGATGGACCTATAGTTATTTTTCCATTTATTTTTTTCGTGAAGTAATCAATACAATTGCAAAATAGCATTCATTTCTGTACCTCAGCCGTGTTTAATGCACTGATCAAATGTACACATTGAATGCAAAGTAAGTCGCTTTGGATACAAACCTCTGCCAAATGCATAAATGCGATTTTAAAAACATCTTACACTTTTCAACTTATATATATCGCTGAATGTAAAGAAATGAAGTTTATGTCATGATAAATTATATGAAATATGTATTTGAAATGTGTCACAGACTGTTTCTTATTTCTCCTCACCTCCTCCTCAGTTTTATATTCCTGTAGTGAAGACACACATACACACACAAACACAAAATTCTTCTCTGACTATCTCTGCTACTCCAGAGTGACAACAGGCAAGTTTTTGGCCATGTTGACACAAGCATAAAAACCTCATTAGATCCATTCTGAGCTTATCAGGTTTTTTTTTTTTTATGGTATTATATCACGTTCCCATTGGATACTGCACTGCTTTTGTCATGACACTCTGGACTCTGGCTGCTGCTAATGTTGGTTAAATTGAATTCAATCCCACCTCAGAAAAGGTGACATTATGACAGTTCACACCTCACTTTTTCTTTTACTTCTGCTGATAAGAGTATGATGCTCAGTACTGTACGACTGAAAAGAAAGCCCTACAAAACACTTATCAAACTTTGATAAAGAAATAGCATGAGAGAGCTCTTTGTTTGCCACTAATAAAATACTGCAGTTAAAGTGCTTATCTCATATTTAAACACATAATCTCTCGTTTTATCTGAAGCCATTAGTTATCGGCAGGCTTTTTCTTGACATGATCGAAATTCACTTATTTAATACCAGGTCCACTGCCAACTCCTCTGTTAACCACTACATGGGACTATACGACCACCTTTTTCAGTTGACAAAAAAATTAAATAAATCATGTTAAACCTGCAGTCTGTAACTTTTGGCAATAAGGAATAAAAAATATACAAATCGACAATTGTATGTACAGGTATAGAACAATAGACAGTTGTATGTAGCCTACAGGTATATTATGTGCAAATTGAAATGTAGACTGAGTTACATAGTGCTGCTTTAATCTATATTATGAGTTACTGTTTGTAATGATGACTTTATCCGTATAATTACATCACAGATATACACACAATATCAATAATTATATTTATATTTCTTTTGTGCTAATAGCTTAAAGTACTTTAAATCTAACTGAACACACTTTTAAGGAGATTTTAATCTTGCTAAAATCTTTAAAATGTCAGATCTATTCTCTAACTTTATATTTCCTCTCGATCACGCCACACACTCATTTAGGCTGCCCCCATTTACATCACACTTCCTCCGAGTGTACGTCAGGTGATCAGCATGAGCATTGCATAAGAAAAACTCAAAAACGAAAGAAGAACGGTTGCAGTGAGATCCATCTGAAATTGCTCGTTTGTTTATCATTTACACCAGAAATAATGAGAGTTTAATCAGAATACGTTTTATGATGCATTTTCTGCACTGTGTTTTGATGCTCATCTTCGAAATATCTGATGGTATGTAGCCCATTATTTGTTTATAGCCTGTTTAATGCTACAAAAAGTAAAACAGACTTAATTTTTCATCACACTCTTTACAATTATATGGCATTTAAAGACAAAATGTAATTACAATGGCAATCACGTGCCGTTTATTAACCGCTCATCATTCAAGAAAACATTTAAACGTTTTAAAGGTCCCTACATTTCCGGTTTGTGGTACAGGAACTCGTGAGAGACTTGTTTTGCTGTTGTGTGTTCAAGACGCCTTTTGTTTTCTGAGGGGCTCAATAATTTTTTAAGGTGGTCAGAATCCTTAAACCACTTAAATTATTTGTCTTAAATGCCCAGCAATTTTCGCCTAGTATTTCTAAATTTAATATTATAAAACAATAAATGTAATCATTTATAATTATATTTAGCAATTTTATAACAATACTTATATTACTTTTCTCTCTTTCAAACATGCAGATACCCTGGGATTCAGCGTTCGAGGTCCCTCTGGTCCTCTGGTGGTACCTCTGGGAGGTTCAGTCATTTTGCCCTGTTTTGTTGAGAGGCCTTTAGCAGTAGAGAAAGTGAAAGTTGTGTGGAAAAGAACAGGCTCAGAGACTCTGGTTCATCTGTATCAAGACGGTGAGAGTCGAGCAGAGGCCCAGCACAAAGATTATCATGATAGAGCTCATTTCTTTACTGATCAGATTCAACATGGAAACTTCTCCCTCCTTCTGGAAAATGTGAGAGCTGAAGACAAAGGGGTTTACAGATGTAAAGTTTACAGTCAGCAGCTTGCTGACAAAACTTTAGTTGAAATAAAAGATGTTGGTGAGTGAATCATTTCAGTCCTGCATCAGAGTTTAAAACAAAAACTAGTTCTGTAATATTTCAACTGTTCTTTCTTTTAGAGCGTTTACTAGTATCAGGCTCAGATGAGTCTGTTTCTGCATATGATGGTGAGGACGTCACTCTGAGCTGCTCTGTAGACTCTCACATCACACCTGAAGACATGGAGGTTTCATGGAAGAAAACAGATGAAGATATTCTGCTCTACCAAAACAATGAGACTTTCTCAGATTCATCAGATGAGCGAGACAGAGACAGAGTTGAGTTCTTCACTGCTGAGATCCCCAAAGGAAACTTCTCTCTCAGACTGAAGAGTGTCAGAACTGAGGATAAAGGAGTTTACATGTGTTTAGTGTTTGCTGGAGGACTTTCAGTGAACACAACTGTGGTACTGGTGCAACTGGGTGAGTAACAGATAACTAAGAAAACAATGTGAACCTGACAAACTTGTGCTTTTAACATTTTTATACTCTTTGAAGAAATGTTTATTCATAAATCTAAAGGGATCAACCACAAAGTTTATAGTACAGGAACCACTAAAGAGTTCCATATAAGATATTATTTAGAAAGAGCAACTCCACTTTGTAACCTAATGTATATAGAAACTTTCAAGGTTTCTAACTTCCAAACATGGTAATGGATTTTGTTTTTGTTAAATTAATGGGCCTATGCATTTTGTGATAATATAAAAAAAAGTTAATTTGATTTACATTTTTCATTTTAATTAATTTTTTTATTGAGAGTCTATTTTTTGTTTATATTTGTACAATCAATAATATTGGAAACTGTGTTGTATCACTTGATAAATGCACAAAAAGATGAATGTAAACCTGTGTCCTGAAGGGAAAAAAATAATTGAGAAACACTGATCTAGACCTCTTTATGCCAGAAAGGTTCTTTGTTGCGTTTTTCTTTTTGTAGCACCTTTTTTGACACAAAATGTCCTGTTGAGTTGAGTAGAGGACATTCTACATAGAACCCTAATCAAACCTTGTTTTCTAGAGCAAAAAATTCTAAATATATTATCCAGAATTCAGTACCTGGGTTCCATTTAGCTGTTTAGTGTCAACTTACGCTGTTGTGTATCTGATGTTTGTATCACAGGTTTCTCTTGGCTACACATAACTGCGTTAATTCTCTGTATTGTTGCATCTGGATCTGCACTTCTCTCCTGGCTTGTTTACTCCAGAACAGGAAATCAAGGTGTGATTTTTATTTATTTTTTAGGAGAAATAGGCTTCAAAAATGCATTCAGTTATTATTATTAATATTACTACTATTATTTATGAATAATTTTAATTTCTAACTGGAATCCATATGTATCTTCACTGTAGAAAAAAGGCTGTGTCTTCAAGTTTGTCTTTTCCTTTGCCCGGATATAACTATGCTGTTGGCTTCAATCATATGGTGTGTTATTGAAGGTATTTCATCAGGACTTTATCGACAGTAAATCCAGCATAGACTTTACAACTTAATTCAGTTCTGTCTAAAGAACTGAACTTAAGAGATAATTGATTTATACCAATTATATTTGTACATTTCTGAGTTCTTTTTCATCACCAAAATAATGTGTTTCAGGTTCTTTGTATGAGACCGTCTCTTGCTGTATGCTCTATATTCTGGGGCCTCTGAGGTTGTTTTGGGTTAAACCATTAGCCACAGATTTGCCAGGTTGGTTTTTTAAATAAAATGCTGTGTAACACTGCGAATCAGATATTACATAATACCCGTGTCTACTGAGATTTGTTATATCTATACATTAAACTAAAGGGATTAGACAATTATTATTATTTGTTTTTATTACTGTTTTAGTGCTTTACATGATTTTACAACTTTATTTTTGCAGATAAAATCCTGAAGTATATCATGACTGCACATGCTGATCATGCAGCATTTATGGCAGTGATGTATTCAGGTAAACCCACACTGTAAATAATCTAGTAAACTAAACTTAATTTATCCTTGGTTTATCCAATGTATTTGAATTGATAAAATTACAAAAAAAAAATTATCTTAACTTTTGGGATTAAGTAAAAGTTCAAACAAAAATGTCCATGGAAAAAAAGAAACAAAATAAAATGTCTGTCTGTCAGTTGTAGTGCTGAAGTAGTGTATTTGTTATTGGTTATTGTTCATCCTCCAAGCTAATTGTCATGTGTTGAAATGAATATTTATTTAAATTCATATATATCTGTGTCAGTACTTTCAGCTGAACATTTTCCAAACATCAGCACAGTCTTCAGCACATTCAGCTTTGGTTTGCTTGTCCTGATGTGTCTCCTCTTCATTATACGTGAGTGATCATCCATTATGGAGCATTATCCATTATCCTCATCTTGTAGTAATGCACTGTTAAAAATGCAAAATTAACCTTTTTTTTTTTTTTTTAACAAACAGCATTTTTATAAAGGAAACTTATATTTCACCTTTTTTAAATATTTAAAATGAATTTTACCATCATTTACACAACCACGTATGACCAAATAAAGTTAATTCACAGCATTGTTTTTGATTATTTATGTCCATAGAAGATTTTTTAAAAACTGAAATTCAAATGATGGACATTTAGGACATTTGCTTATTGGTGATATGCAGTAAATTATTGAACACATAATTTGTTTTTATAATTTTGTTTTTTAATAGAATTAGCTAAAGAGAAGTTGCTGTCATGCTCTGGAGAGTCGAGCAGAAGGATATACAGTATAGTTCAGCAGTTTGTGGCTACTTGTGGCTTTTCATTGCTGCCTTCATTACAGCTCGCCCTTCTGCTCTACACTCATTTAGCCTCCGGTGAAGGTAAGCAAGAACATTTTAGACTTGAGCAAAGACTGATTGAGAATGAACTGACATGCTTGAGGAACATTTGTATGCTTCTTACACATACTTCACCATAAATAGAAATGAAAGAAGAAGCCAATCATGTAGTTATTGTGACAATTTAATTCTTTACTCTAAGTGCCTCTCTCTTTTTTAGTGTTCATCATTACGGCTCTTCCAGCACTTCATTGGGTGTCTTATTTATTTTGTAATGAAACAAAAATTGCAGATCAACGCTGTAAGTATGATAAATTATATTCTGCTCTGTTATGACTGCAGAAATAAATCAGTAGATTGATACATTTCATAAAGGATAAAAATATCACATTTACTGTAATTAAAAAAAAAAAAAAATTTTAATGTACACAAAGTGTCAGAGCTGCTTTTGTTTCTCTTTACCATCAATAAAAGTTTCTCAAGTGGTGGTCCTCAATGGAATGAGTTGTAGCATGTTTTCACTGTTTCTTTCATCTTTTCAGGTCAACGTTTTCTATATATATTAATACGGTCAATGATGATTGTGATGACTGGAGTAATGGTGTATTTTTACATTATGCTCTCGAGAAATAAAGAAGGTATGAATATATCTCTAATAATTAAAGATATTAAAACACTGTTTACAAATTACAAGTATGTAAGTGTACATTTATCTTGCTAAAAGTTCATTTTTAACATTGTCTGTTGAATATAAAATAATTTGTAGGTCTCTTTCTAATAAACATGAGCAATAAATAAGACTTTTCTGCTTTTTAATAAAGACCTTTTCTTTCATTTACAGCTGATGCAGGACCAGTCTGTGTGGCAGGATTTGTTCAAGCCTTGTGGGTGCTTGCGTTTTCTGAAGTCCCAGTCTATTATCAGAGTAAAGTACCGATCAGCTTCTTTCTTGTTCATCTGTTGTTCATGTCAGTCCTCCTGTTTCATTCTCATCCACAAAGCTTAAGGTCTGGATGAGTGTTGTGATTCCGATTCTGGGGATTATTATACTGCAGCCAATCAGAAAAGTGTTGCTGTGTCTAAAATTGTTAACTCGTTCACTAATTCACTCATTCACAATTCCTTAACGGACTGCACCCCCCTTCCCCAAAAACAAGTTTCAGTTTATTTATCCAGTGTTCTCTCTTAAGTATCCCAACAATGAATTTAGAACTGCTTCAAATGATTCAGACCAAATGAATTGAACTGAATCGTGAATCAGTTTAGACCATAGTACAATTCTGTATAATTCATGAAGTACTCATTGCCATCACTAGTTCTGATTTTTAAAGGGCATACAAATAAACTTATATTTCACCTTTTTTAAATATTTAAAATGAATTTTACCATCATTTACACAACCACGTATGACCAAATAAAGTTAATTCACAGCATTGTTTTTGATTATTTATGTCCATAGAAGATTATTTAAAAACTGAAATTCAAATGATGGACATTTAGGACATTTGCTTATTGGTGATATGCAGTAAATTATTGAACACATAATTTGTTTTTATAATTTTGTTTTTTAATAGAATTAGCTAAAGAGAAGTTGCTGTCATGCTCTGGAGAGTCGAGCAGAAGGATATACAGTATAGTTCAGCAGTTTGTGGCTACTTGTGGCTTTTCATTGCTGCCTTCATTACAGCTCGCCCTTCTGCTCTACACTCATTTAGCCTCCGGTGAAGGTAAGCAAGAACATTTTAGACTTGAGCAAAGACTGATTGAGAATGAACTGACATGCTTGAGGAACATTTGTATGCTTCTTACACATACTTCACCATAAATAGAAATGAAAGAAGAAGCCAATCATGTAGTTATTGTGACAATTTAATTCTTTACTCTAAGTGCCTCTCTCTTTTTTAGTGTTCATCATTACGGCTCTTCCAGCACTTCATTGGGTGTCTTATTTATTTTGTAATGAAACAAAAATTGCAGATCAACGCTGTAAGTATGATAAATTATATTCTGCTCTGTTATGACTGCAGAAATAAATCAGTAGATTGATACATTTCATAAAGGATAAAAATATCACATTTACTGTAATTAAAAAAAAAAAAAAATTTTAATGTACACAAAGTGTCAGAGCTGCTTTTGTTTCTCTTTACCATCAATAAAAGTTTCTCAAGTGGTGGTCCTCAATGGAATGAGTTGTAGCATGTTTTCACTGTTTCTTTCATCTTTTCAGGTCAACGTTTTCTATATATATTAATACGGTCAATGATGACTGGAGTGACTGGAGTAATGGTGTATTTTTACATTATGCTCTCGAGAAATAAAGAAGGTATGAATATAATTAAAGATATTAAAGATATTAAAACACTGTTTACAAATTACAAGTATGTAAGTGTACATTTATCTTGCTAAAAGTTCATTTTTAACATTGTCTGTTGAATATAAAATAATTTGTAGGTCTCTTTCTAATAAACATGAGCGACTTTTCTGCCTTTTCTGCTTTTTAATAAAGACCTTTTCTTTCATTTACAGCTGATGCAGGACCAGTCTGATTTGTTCAAGCTGATGCAGGACCAGTCTGTGTGGCAGGATTTGTTCAAGCCTTGTGGGTGCTTGCGTTTTCTGAAGTCCCAGTCTATTATCAGAGTAAAGTACCGATCAGCTTCTTTCTTGTTCATCTGTTGTTCATGTCAGTCCTCCTGTTTCATTCTCATCCACAAAGCTTAAGGTCTGGATGAGTGTTGTGATTCCGATTCTGGGGATTATTATACTGCAGCCAATCAGAAAAGTGTTGCTGTGTCTAAAATTGTTAACTCGTTCACTAATTCACTCATTCACAATTCCTTAACGGACTGCACCCCCCTTCCCCAAAAACAAGTTTCAGTTTATTTATCCAGTGTTCTCTCTTAAGTATCCCAACAATGAATTTAGAACTGCTTCAAATGATTCAGACCAAATGAATTGAACTGAATCGTGAATCAGTTTAGACCATAGTACAATTCTGTATAATTCATGAAGGATTCATTGCCATCACTAGTTCTGATTTTTAAAGGGCATACAAATAATAATAATAATAATAAATGTTTAATGTAAATCAGTACAATTATTTTTGTTTACATAAACTGACAGTCACCACTGATAAGCTACTACTAAATATTGTAGAAACTTCATTTTCTTGATTTGTATCGTAAAAAGCGCTATACAAATAAACTTGAATTGAATTGAACAAAAATGTTTAACTCTGCCCTACAGAACTTCGCATGAGGAAAATGTTGTTCCTGTATGGATCAGCTGGTCTTGTTTTAGTGAACTCGGCTGCACTGATGACAGAACTGATAATGAAAGCAGGTGAGTGAACAAAACATTTGAATGAGATTCATAAAGTCATGTAGGGTCAAAACATACTGTTTGTTGAAAATGAATCTCCTTCCACAGTTCATGGTGTACGTCTGCTGGGAGATTTGCGAATCATTGTCTTTCCGTCTGAGTGGCTCTTTACTGTAGCACTGCTGGTTTTGTCTATTTTTGCACCATGTGAGTATGACCAGGAGTGTATTTTATCCCTATGAATGAATCATCCATCATGCTGTTTTTTTATATTTGCCATATCTGTGCATTAACTGAGGGAGTTGTAACTAATCCTCAAATCTTTTTCTCTCTCACATCTCAGTGAAAGCTGTCAGCACAGAGTCTCAGAAGGCTTCTCAGGTGAGTTTGTATGATTAAATGTGAATTTGGTTTATTAATACAATCATTTTTAAAACACTGACATTTAATGTGGACAAAGTAAAACTATAAAGATGTCATGTAAGTACTGTTAAGAATATGTGCTTTCTTCTAATTGCAGATGCCGTCAGATTATAATGGGACTCCTGGTACAAAGTATACCAGTATAGATCTGAACCAGAGGGCAGAAGAATCCCATGAAATGGAAAGTCTGAGAAAAGTAGCTGGGAACAGCGAGGAGCATCAAGAAGAGGAGATCAACTAAGTGAACTGCACTTTTTAAAAGATCTGACTGAACTTTTCTCATTGGGCAGAGGTTTTCATGGTATGAAACATTTCTGATGGTAAACTGGCAAACATGCCATTTCCTTGTCTGCATAACGATTAGCAGCAGAAACTGTTGCACATTATCATGGTTTGGGCTGGATGTATTTTTGATATCAGCGATGCTGTGCCATTGATATTGTGGTATGTTGTTTATGGTTGACAAACTATGCTGAATTCTACTTTGAAGTGAATCAAGTACTTGAAGTGACCTAAGAATTATTCAACCTTGTATATTTGTATGCATTTAAATATTTTCCATGTAATATGTATGTAAAATATTTATGTAATGTTTAAGATATGTACATAGGTTTCTCGTCTTTGTTCTTATTATAGCTGACTTTTCTTAAAGTGCTTGGAGCACTTACAACAATATTTATTAAAGCAATCAGCATTATTTTGTGCTGTAGTACCAAAACGGGTATTGAGAAATATTAAATTTCACCGTAACTGTATTGTGACCTCTCTATTTCAAGGGTTGGGTGTATGTTCCTGGCTAGAGTAAGCTCCAAAGTGGATCCAGAGTTGAATGTATAATATTAATATGGTCTTCTCTTGTTTCTCTTTTTCACTGATATTTTTCTATGAAACATTTTCTAATCTACATTTTCATTCTCTGTGAGATGTTTGTTGATGCACATTGACTTCTGAGATGGTGTTACTGTATATATGACAAGATGAAGGATATTCTGCCTCATTCTTCTGATAAATTTGTGAGATATGATCTTAAATGTATGTCTTTTCCCAACTGTAGCAGGATATTGCTATACATAGATTTATTTTAATAGTGTGTTTAGTATTTTTTTGTACCAAGTTCAAGCACTTGATTCCGTGTAGTGTTAAAATAAATATTTTATAATAAATTACTCTGCCTGTGCTTCCGCGAATGTGATTTCCACCTGACCCGACTCATTTTGCTTTTTGTCTTTGGTTGCAATTGTTGTCTTCATTTCTTGAAGATGAAATGTCTGATGAACAATGCCAAGCAGAGTGATTTCTGAATAATTCACTGACATAATAAAGTGTGTCTAGAGGTTAATGCACTCATGTCATGATAATTATACTGTATTCTGCCTAATCTGAGGTGAGCAGGTAAGAATCATGTTCATTCCTATCTTTATCTGTGGATTGACTGATCACATAAATCATATAAATCAGGAACATATAAAGCAAAAGATGGATTACTAAGTCATAGGGTTGTGTTCTGACTTTATAAATGTACCCTGTGTGTTTTAAAATAATAAAAAAAGTAAAACAATTCTGTGAATTCAATAATCTAAACACCATGGGTACATTTTACAATATCAGGCAAGTGAGTATTTCTCTCGCCTATTGCTCTGCCATGGGTGCAAATAATCTGACATAACCTGCTACTCTAAACAGCTAAATTGAGGTTAGGTTTCAAATAGATAGTTTTAATAAAAGTCATTTTTATGCATGTGTGTTCTTATGAGCTGGTTATGGCCGCGCGCCCCCAAGCGGCAGACCTGATGGTTTTGAACATTTTTTCTTTCTTTTTGTCCGCCAGTGGACACGTAACTGGAGAAACACGCTTTGCTTATTAATATTAATTTGGTCATACAAAAGTTGCTTTTCAACCTCTCTATGGGGTCCAGTATAACGCAATGAATATTCAAAATAGAACCAGCCCTTTTCAGCCAATCAGATAGGTCAACCGAGACAACGTCACATTACGTAATTAATATTCATAAGACAAGACGGCACAGTGTTGGCAGATTCTAGTGATGGGAAGTTCGGATCATTTTACCGACTCGGACCTTTGAGTCTCGTTCAGCAAAATGAACGAATCTTTTTTCGAGTCATTTCGTTCATTTTAGCAAAATATTATTAAAATGTTATGATTTACTTCCTAATACGACTCGAAACAGGTGAACTACTTGACTAAACCCAGTACAGAACCTATAGGATGTTGCGCATGCGCGACTGAACGAATCACTCCCCGAGACGACTCGTTCTTCCTGAGTCACATTAAGGATTCATTCAAAATGAACGAATCGTTCAAGAACGACCCAACACTAGCAGACCGCAGGAAAAGAGCAAGGATTGGATATGTGAAAAAACATTTGCCTGTTTACTGTTTTTAATGTAAGTGTTGTCCTTATGAACATGCGATATTACCCCTCTCACATTTTAGTAGTATAAAAATCATTCTATATGCCTTTCATAGTGTTGTTAAACGGATAAGTTAGGTGTGCTACTGTATTGTTGTTGTTTACCTAACGTATATTTCAAAGAGTTTCAATCATAATGTTCATGATATTGCCGTGAAAGTGTGTATTTGAGTTTGCTGTTGTCTTTAATGAAGTTGTATCTGTCTTATTGAGCGGTTTTATGAGTTTTGAGTAGTTAGGAGTGGCCACAACTAACCAAAATAGTAAAGTGTTTATTCGCTAACTCTTCGGCGTTTGTGTATTTTCACTGTGGGAAAGTACAGATCAGGCCTACAATCGACTGTAAAGTTACAGTTGAAGCTGATTTCTTCAAAGGGTGTTTTTGGTCAGTAATAATGATCAGTTATGAGTCGGTTGTCGTGAAGCTGATGGTGTTTGGCCGGTTGGCGTAATCCGTTTAACTCACGAGCTGCTCTGATTCCCTTTGAAAGTCAGATTGATGACAGCACATGTTTCACCACAGCACAGTGACAATATGACAATAATGAGGTATTGGTCCGAGTTGCATTGCCATTAAAGTTCTAGTAGTTATTAATGCAAATCAGACAAATACTAGACACAAAGGGGCAATATATTAAAGGGATAGTTCACCCAAAAATGAAAATTTGATGTTTATCTGCTTACCCCCAGGGCATCCAAGATGTTGGTGACTTTGTTTCTTCAGTAGAACACATTTGATGATTTTTAAGTCCAACCGTTGCAGTCTATCAGTCTTATAATGCATGGCAATGGTAACAAAATCTATGAGAGTAAAAAAAAACATGCACAGACAAATCCAAATTAAACCCTGCGGCTCCTGACGACACATTGATGTCCTAAGACACGAAACGATCGGTTTGTGCCAGAAACCGAACAGTGTTTATATATTTTTTTACCTCTAATTCACCACTATGTCCAACTGTCTTTGTGCGTGCGCACGGCATCTGGTGCGTGAGGTGTGTACGCTCTCTGGCGTAGTTTACGTTAATGGGTGTGTTGTCGCGGGAGGAGCAAACGACAGACACCGTTTATTAACAGAAAATAAACAAAGTGTCCAGAAAAAAGGGAATCAAGTGTCCAAAATAAACAGGGGATCTGGTGTCCTCGTCATGCTGCGGGGTTCGTGCAGGGAAGGGCAGTGGTCAGGAAGGAAGGAAGGGTCCAGGTAAGGGGCGGAGTCCGGCGGCCGCACGCGCTCCCCTCTCCGGTCCGGGGTGCGAGGGGCAGCGGCTTCTATCAGCGGCTTCTATCAGCGGCTTCGTCCTTCTCTCTGCCCACGGCGCTTGAAGGGACTAGACGGCCCAGCATCCTTGCCCGACGGCTGTGTAACGGGTGCGGTTCTCGTCCGGACTGCGGGTCCGGCAGCTCACCACTCTGGCGGCACGGGAGTCCCTCTACGCACCCCCCCTGGACCCACGAGGACACCAGCGTGCATGCACGGGGAAGAGACCGGTCTCCCGAGGAGAGGCGCGCTCGGCATTTAAACAGCAGCGGCGATGAGGCTCCATTCGGTTCAGGTGTGCCCCATCACACGCCACCAGCCCTGGCTATTTCAGCGCCCCTCCTCTCTCACGCACCCACTCATGTCGGGAGCCTGGCGAAGGGCAGCGATTAAGGGACGGGGTGATGCTGATAATTAGGGGGAGGCAGCCGACTCGTCACAGTGTGTTGATATCCAGCCGAAGAGCAATCAACCATAACTTCAGGCGAGCAGGCTCAGAAGTTGGGAATACGTGGAAAGTCACCACTCCCGAATGAGTTCGCGCGAGAGAATGTAATCTTTTAGTTTTAAGTCGGTTTGAACAATCCAGATATGCGCAAGTAAGTACCATTTTGATTAGCCGTCGTACCTACAATGTTTGTGCACTGTGTAAACAACGAGTGACGTATACGCGCAAGAGATCACTTCCGGCGCTTGCGTAAACTACGCCAGAGCGCGTACACACCTCACGCACCGGATGCCGTGCGCACGCACAAAGACAGTTGGACATAGTGGTGTATTAGAGGTAAAAAATGATATAAACACTGTTCGGTTTCTCGCACAAACCGATCGTTTCGTGTGTTAGGACATCAATGTTTCGTCACGAGCCGCAGGGTTTAATTTGGATTTGTCTGTGCATGTTTTTTTTACTCTCATAGATTTTGTTACCATTGCCATGCATTATACGACTGATAGACTGCAACGGCTGGAGTTAAAAATCATCAAATGTGTTCTACTGAAGAAACAAAGTCACCTATATCTTGGATGCCCTGGGGGTAAGCAGATAAACATCAAATTTTCATTTTTGGGTGAACTATCCCTTTAAGGCCCTGGAATTGATTTTCAGGGATATTTTTACTTTTCCAATTGCGAATTTGTTCTGGTTCATATTTTTTTAGAGAAAGACTTCATATTACTCATTCAGCAAAACCCTATGACAGCAAATAGGTGTATCTGGCAACTACTTGTCAATATGGTCTTTAAACCCATAACTACAATTACATATAAACATGATCAAATGTTAATTAAGAGATAAAATGAGGAATTCACTTTTGGGCAAACTTTTCAGCCCATCACATTTGGTGCATTTATTTATTTATTTTTTCACTGTCTGTGACATTTTGCCCATATAAATTAAGCAGAACAATCTTTCTTTAAAAAGTATGTTGTCCTCTGGCTTTACATTGTGATCTTGTGTTTTTCATATTCAACTTTGAGTGTTATTATTACACTAAGTTCATGATTTTATGGTCAACTTTCTAAAATGTTGCAGGCAAGAGATTTGGTTGTCAGTATTTATCTGTAACAGGATTGCTAATTGTAGTTCAACTTAAAGGGATAGTTCACCCAAAAATGAAAATTCTGGGTCACACTTTATTTTAAGCTCCAATTCTCGCTATATTAACAAACCATTCACTACGACTTTTGACTCCAAATTTGCTGCTTATTAATAGTTAGTAAGGTAGTACTTTATAAGTACTAATAAACAGCCAATATGTTAATAATAGCATGCTAATAAACAACTAGTTAATAATGAGAATTGGTCCCTGTACTAAAGTGTTACCGAATTCTGTCATTAATTACTCACCCTCATGTCGTTCCAAACCCGTAAGACCTCAGTTCATCTTCAGAACACAAATTAAGCTTTCTGACCCTGCATAGACAGCAAGGAAACTACCACATTCAAGGCCCAGAAAGGTAGTAAGGACATCATTAAAATAGTCTATGTGACATCAGTGGTTCAACTGTAATGTTATGAAGCAACGAGAATACTTTTTGTGCGCAAAGAAAACATAAATAACGACTTTATTCAACAGTTTTTCTCTTCCCTGTCAGTGTCTGCTGCCATTCACAAGAGTACCACGACACATTTTTCACAGAAAAACCAGTGTTTCCCCTGACATTATATTAAGGGGGTACCTTAATAAGTTAAGGTAGTTAATTTTATTTAATTAAATTTTCTCTATAGTGCCAGATCACAACAGATGTCATTTAAAGTTACTTTTCCTATAGAACATGTCTATATCTTGTTCTTTTATTAAGCAAACTAAATAGCCTTATGTTATTTATCTTATTTACACGATGGCATGTCATTACTGTCTCTACGTTACATGGTCGCGCTCTCTGCATCGCGCACAGCGGAGTTCTGCCCCGATGCGCACACACAAGTGAGCACACTCCCACTAGTATTTGTAAATATTAAGCCGCAAAACGACTATTTAAATATGAATTCTGTTTGTCTCTGTGTTAATGAATGGCGCAGACGCCAGTTTTGTTTACTACTCGTACTGAAGCACGCGTGACGTTTCCGGTGATATTAACGTCTGCCGTCTGTCTCACTATGAGGACATAAATACATGAACATCTCCAGAACTGCTCAGAGTTATTTGAGCATTTGACCGTTTCATTTGAGTTGTCCAATGTAATAGTGGACCAGTCTCTGAAGGACCAGATCTTCAGCAGGGAGGCCGGACGCATCTGTTACACGATTATCCAGGTAAACAAATGCACCATGTGTAGCTTGTAGTTTGTTAGGACTGAGTTGTAAGCATATGACTGACTTTATGCAGGCAGAGGCCAAACAGACCAACGGGAATGTGTTTCGGCGTAACCTTCTGAACCGACTGCAGCAGAAATTTAAAGCCAGAGAGGAGACGCGGAAGAGATCCACTCAGGAGTGGGTTTGCCTTGTGTCCTTCATCTGCAACATCTTTGACTACCTCAAGGTGAAAAATTGCCTTCTGTTTTAATGCTTAAAGGAATAGTTCACCTAAAATTAAAATTTGCTGAAAATGTACTCACCCTCGGGTCATTCAAGATGTAGATGTGTTTGTTTCTTCAACAGAACAGATTTGGAGAAATGTAGCATTACATCACTTGCTCACCAATGGATCCTCTGCAGTGAATGGGTGCCGTCAGAATGAGAGTCCAAACAGCTGATAAAAACATCACAATAATCCACAAGTAATCCAGTCCATCAATTAATGTCTTTACTTGTGGATTATTGTGAAGTTTTTTTTTATCAGCTGTTTGGACCCTCATTCTGATGGCACCCATTCACTATTTCTGTAATTAAAGCAATGGATCGTATTTAACATTTGACTGCATATAAATTTTCTATCAAATTAATGTGGAAAAAACATACATTATTTAAAATATTTGGTATTTTAAACATCTATCTAATGGCATTTTACAGTGTTTCCCCTGACATTATATTAGGCCCAACGGCACCCCCGCCCCCCTTGAAGGTCAATTTAATTTTATTTAATTTTATTTTCTCTATAGCGCCAGATCACAACAGAAGTCATTTAAAGTTACCTTTCCTATAGAACAGGTATATACCTTGTTCTTTTATTAAGCAAACTAAATAGCCTTATGTTATTTATCTTATTTACACGATGGCATGTCATTACTGTCTCTACGTTACATGGTCGCGCTCTCTGCATCGCGCACAGCGGAGTTCTGCCCCGATGCGCACACACAAGTGAGCACACTCCCACTAGTATTTGTAAATATTAAGCCGCAAAACGACTATTTAAATATGAATTCTGTTTGTCTCTGTGTTAATGAATGGCGCAGACGCAGAGTTTTGTTTACTACTGGTACTGAAGTGCGCATGACGCTTCCAGTGATATTAACGTCTGCCGTCCCACTAATGTGGACATAAATACATGAATAACATCTCCAGAACTGCTCTGAGAGTCACTTCATGAGCATTTGACCATTTCATTTGAGTAAAACTATCCTCATATCTGATAGGCCTATATCATATACACACTGAAATGTAAAGGTAAAAGTTTGATTTAACTTGAAGACATTGCAGCAGAAATATATTAGCCTACTATTGTTCAGTAGAATGTACGTAATAGGCTACTACTACTACTACTAAAATTCTTAAAATCTTATTTTTAAGGAATAATCACAATATTTCTTCAATGTTTTAATTGTAATATTAAATCCTTTATTTTCCAAAACATAACATTTGTTTTAATTTTCATTAATTAAAAGATAAATTAAATTAATGTTTTATGCTGGTGGTCACTAAATTGTATTGTGTATGATATATATCGTATATGACAATATTATTATTGTTGTTTTGATGTGGAAGCTGACACTGAGCATGTATAAGTATTACTTGCGTATAATTTTTTTTTTATCAGCTGTTTGGACCCTCATTCTGATGGCACCCATTCACTGCAGAGGATCTGTTGGTGAGCAGCTTTCTCCTAATTTGTTCTGATTAAGAAACAAACTCGTCTACATTTTGGATGGTCTGAGGGTGAGCCAATTCTCAGCTAATTTAAATTTTACGTTCACAACGTCTCATTTAGGAAGGCATGCAGGGTAACTATAATTAAAAATGCATATGTAAATTAATTTGAAGTGCTTACTAACTTTTAACTTAAAGGGGTCATATGATGCCATTTAAATTTTTCCTTTTTCTTTGAAGTGATACAAGCTCTTGGAAAAAACGGAATTTACAGTTTAACGCAGAATGTCACGGAATTTGCCAAAGTTTGGATGAATTAACCAAAAGTAGGACATTACTATTGTTCAGCAGAATATATGTAATACTACTACTAAAATTATTAAAACCTTATTTTTTTAAAGGAATAATCATACAATATTTCTTCAGCGTTTTAATTGTAAATCCCCTTTATTTGCCAAACAATTTAATTTGTTTAAATTTCAATAATTAAAAGATAAATTAATGATTTAAACAAAATTTAATTAATACACAATTTCTGAGGGAACAAAACATTTCATAAGGCTATTGTAAGAATAAATGAAACTTGTTTTTATGCATTCAAATAATTAGACATGCTAAAACACAGCATTTGGTAACAATAAAACATAAGGTTGGAAAAAATAAAACATTTTTGGGCCCTAAACATGTCATTTTTGTTAAACGTTTAATAAATTGATGTTAAACTGTTTTAAGTTTCATGATTTTAATTAATTAGACATGCTTTTTGATTAATACAATTTAATTTCACCATTAAAAAGAAGTTTGAAACGGAAAAAAAACGGACCCTCCCCACCCCAAGCCGTAAACCTAGGGGAAACACTGAAAACTGATCTTATGTGCCTGAAGGTTGATTACTGATTGATCGATCGATTGATTCCCTGTCTTCCCATCCTAAACAGAATGGAGAACTATGCTTTCAAATAATTAGACATGCTAAAACACAGAATTTGGTAACAATAAAACATAAGGTTGGAAAAATTAAAACATTTTTGGGCCCTAAACATATCACTTTTGTTAAACTTGTAATAAATTGATGTTAAATGTTTTAAGTTTCATGATTTTAATTAATTAGACATGCTTTTTGATTAATACAATTTAATTTCACCATTAAAAAGAAGTTTGAAACGGAAAAAAAACGGACCCTCCCCACCCCAAGCCGTAAACCTAGGGGAAACACTGAAAACTGATCTTATGTGCCTGAAGGTTGATTACTGATTGATCGATCGATTGATTCCCTGTCTTCCCATCCTAAACAGAATGGAGAACTCATCTAAAGAGGAGTACAAGATCCAGTCGTTTGATTTGGAGACACAGAAACTCCTAAAAACTGCCTTGAAAGGTTATTATCTTGAATCTGCAGCAGTTTTGCATGACATATTTTACTGTTAGGCTCATAAATGTGACCTCCCCCCCCTGCCC